CACACACACACACACACACACACACACACACACACAGAGAGAGAGAGAGAGAGAGAGAGAGAGAGAGAGAGAGAGAGAGAGAGAGAGAGAGCTTTGGTAATTATGTTTGTTGGTATCAGTATTGATGCGTTGTTGTCGTCAAGCTATGTTAAACGATTTGGTGACGGCAGAGATGATGATGATGAGGGTCACCAGTGCGCTCATAGAAATCAGACAATGTTTAATTGATTGGTAGTTAGAGTTAGAAATGAAAGGAATGATAGGGTGCCGCCGCAATGCTATTGAAAACTGATCGCTTGTCAGTGACTAGAGTTTGGCTTACCGTTGTTCCTGGAGTTGAGCGCATTGCCAATCTTGTCGTTACGTTCGCCCTTCGCGTAGAGAGCATTTATTCAAATCCGAGTGGTTAGTGTATAGTAGGCTAAGTAACCTTCCGGTGGAGTTGTTCAAAAAAAAAAAAAAAAAAGTAACCTTCCTATAATGGTACACGTGCTACGTAGGGAGCATGCATCTTCTTTCTTGTAGTTCGTTCCAGATCGTTTGCTTTTTTTGACAGCATTTTATGAATCTCTTGAGTTCAGTTTGCCAATAACACGTGTTCTATATTTCTAATCGCGGGTGATGTGGACAGTAGTAGCACTCTCTTCGTCTCTGCTGTCAGCGGTCCCTTAAGGGAGTCCTCCTTACCGGCTTGCAGGGTTTAAAGCGAGGTTAATAATTCATTTAGGAGTTCTCGACTCTCGAGGAGTAGAGACAATTGAGCAGATCTCTTGCGTTTGGCTTTGTAAGTAACAACTTTTCGTTTGCTTTTAGTTTCTCTTCTTTTTGTGAGGGGGGTGTATTCTCGAATGACTTTCCTTTTCTTTCGCCTGCAACGCAATCATCCGAGCCAACGGTGCACTTGACACCATACGAAGTCGTTCAGCAAACGAGACTTGTCCGCCACATTGATCCAGCATTTGGCTTACATGATGATGATGATGATGATGATGATGATGATGATGATGATGATGAGGAGGAGGAGGAGGAGGAGGAGGAATGGGATAGCAGTGGTGATGATGAGGCATGAGAAGACGGGGAAAAGGTGAGGAGGAGTGCTGTCATGATGATGATGCGACCGCAAACTAGGGGCCTCTCTCCCCTTGGGCCCCCCGCTACCCCCCAGACACACAGACTTACTGGCATTCTTGTCAGAGATTTGGAACAACAGTCTTCTAGGAGTGCAGGCTTGGTGTGCGTAGAGTCGACTACTTTTCTCTGGCAAGGGTAACGCTAGCTCTGGGTGTCGTTGTGAGTCCTTATCCATCAGTCAAATGCGTCCTGGGTAGATCGTCGGGGTTCAACGATTCCTGACGAGTCGGTGAAAGTCCGAGGGAACTGTGTGGCACGGTCGTACTTTTCTCGTGGACTCGTGTATAGGCAACGTACACCCACACCCACACCCACACCCACACACACACACACACACACACACACACAGCGAGAGAGAGAGAGAGAGAGAGAGAGAGACTCGTGTATAGGCAACGTACACCCACACCCACACCCACACCCACCCAC